TAAGAGTGCTTTTACTTGGTAAGACCGATGGACTGGCCAGTCAGTCAAAGTTGTTTCTGTCCATGTATGGCATCATGAAGGGTGGTCAACACAGATCTCACTTCGGTGATGGCTGATAAGATCGTGTCTCCTCAGAATGCTTTCCTTGTCTTTCCTTGTCTTCACCTCTCTCTCTCCGTTACACAGCAATCTACCCTGGCTCACAAGCTCGCAGTGATTCGTCTTGCCAAGCTGGCAATCCTGACAGCCCCCACGCGTGTACGTCACATGATTCAGTCTGGCAGGAACGCAGTAGTCATGGTCCTTTGTTCTGCCTTCCTCAAAGCTGTCAACGCCCTCCTGTCCCGCCTCTCCACCCTGGCCGACGACGGCTCACTCTCGCCCTCCCCTGCGGCCTCAGAGGGTGTCTGTATGCTGTCTGTGTTGGGCCCGCCCGAATTCCCTGGCTGTGCACGCTCAGTTAGCAGGGCAGACAGAGCCTGACACACACACAACACAAGGGCAGCATGTGGGGTGGGCAGTTTGTTTGTACAGACATACAGACATCCGGATGGGATGACCCCTCACCTCACCTGCAGTGCCGCATCGTTTTGCGCGTCGCGGATGTTGGCGTGGCTCGTATATGACTGCACTCATGGACAGACAGACAGACAGTCGCCGTCCGTAGGCACATGGATCTATCAATGTGTGCCTCTCTGGGTCATGCGTGGCTGTGTCACTCACCTTGAACCTGAGGAAGTCTTGGCCCACCCTCACAGACAGGATCCACTGAATACACACATTCATGGGCAGACTCGTACGTACGGATGCATGTCTCCCTCCCTCCCTCCCTCCCTCCCAGCTTGACTGACCCTGAATCCGCCCCTCTCTGATTCGACGCCGCCGAACTCCAGCACGTGACCCTCGCGAGTGCACAATGCCTGGAGCGGACACACACATACAGACATACAGTTAATAAATGCACAGAGGCCTGCCTTGTCTGCGTGTGTCTCCGCGTGAGTGGGTGACTCACCGATAGAGTCTGCTGCGCCGACTGGACGAGGGTGTCAGCAGTCATCGGGGGCAGTGCTCCATGTGCCTGCCCCAATATCTTTCGGATGACGTCATCACGTTCCTTGAGTGCCACAGGGTTGTCGTCGATGCCCGCTGCCGCAGACCCCGCCTCACCCGCCTTGGCGCCATGGCCCCTGCCGCCCCCCCTGCGCCTGGCAGGGGCCGTCTTGACCGCTCGAGGCGACGGGCCAGTCGCAGCGGCCCCACCAAACAGTTCACCACCGCGGCCAAATGTGGCTGCCACCGGCAGCCGGCCAGAGGGGTGGGATATGGGGGGAGAGGGGGAGGTGGGGGGCTCGGCCGCGAAGGGGCTGCCGTCACCGTCACTGGTCTGTTTGTGGATGAAGTCTGGCTGGTAGGTGAAGGAGTGTGGTATGATGCGCTGCGGTGCGGCGGCGCCGTTGCCTGATGATGGTGAGACGGGTGGTGCCTGTGTGGGGTGCTGGATCTGGGGCGTCACCAACGAAAGGGACAGGGGGGTGCCGTCACGCACGGGATCTATCAACCTACAGTGAGTGCAATCAGTAGACGTACACGTGTGCATCGCATCTGATCTGCCTCCCCTCCACGTGCGCTCGTGTGTGTGTGATGTGTACTTTTCGCAGGTGAGCTTGTCGACTTGAAAGTAGCTTCTGATGGCGAGGAGGGTCTGTCGCGTCACCCACGCATCGGTGGCCGCGTAGACCACCTGACTCCTCGACAAAGGCACCTGCTCCCAATCCGACATCTGAGTAATACACGGAAGGACACGATTGCTAAGTCGGCCGGCAGTGCCTTAAGGTGTAGACAGCAATAAATAGCTGACTGACCTGGAGGTCTTTCCTGAGTTGGCGTCCGAGAAACATGCCGGCCAAGGCCTGCAGTGACCGGGCAGAACACTTCAGGCTACTACACACATACATCAAAGAAAGAGTGAGCGAGGGGGAGGGAGGGACACATACGGCGTCCATGGCATGCCATGAGTGTGCCGTGCCATGCCTGCCTGCCTGCCTGTGTGGGTTCAGTACTCACAGTGCGATGTGGTGGAGGTCGATGAATCCCCTGGGCACCACCTGGAACTCACTCTTCAACACAGTCATCTCTGTCGTCGCCCCCTGGGACACCTATCATATCCAACACCAATACACACACACACAACGTCACGTGACAAACACACTCATGTCGGAATCGAGATGTGGGTAAACTGGACCATCAGTCAGTGTGCACACAGGCCTCGTCCACCTTGTGTTTGCCAGGATCCTGCAGTATGTCGAGAAGTGTGGGTGGTATGCCGCCCAGCTCTTTGATGTGCCACAGCACACACACGCTGCCGCTCGACAGCTGCACCAGCGACGTGGGGCTCTTGGCCGACGGAGTCAACGACGGACGGTACTCAGTGTCGTAACCCAACAACGCTGATCAGATCAACGAACCAACGAGATCAGATCATGCAATGGCAAGGAAGGAAGGACAGTACAGACACCGCAACCGTGTGTGACGTGACTGCACATACACCTACATTCGGCCTGAAATATGTCTTTGATGCGAGCATCTTCCTCCAGGGTGCGCACCAGCACGATTCGGCTGCCGAACTCCACCACAGGGAGACGCTGAAGCTCCTGAAACCACAGCAGACAGACACAGACAACACGCACATCGTCTTATTCACCTCATATATATATCGGTCTGACTGCCTTGGTACGTACAGTGCTTGTGATAGAGAAGATGCCCTGCTGGTTGGCATCTGGCTTGATGTTGCTGCGGCGCTGCCAATACTGATAGGCTGGCGCAGATCTGCCTCCTCCACAAGGCGACGCTGCACTGTCGGCGGAAGAAGCGACACATCGATGAATCCCGGCTGACCGGCGACTGACTCGCGCAGCTGTCGCTGCTCCGCTGGTGACACTCAGAACACGATGGGTTGAACGCCGCATTTCGACATTCGCATAGGGTTTCGGGGTTTGAAACCCTGCTGCCGGTTTCGCACAAGCTTGAGGCGGCTTCAAGCGGTTGATGTCATCTGCACGCATATACGGTAAGACGAAGGCAGAACTCAACTCATGGCATATAGGATCTCTGTCACGTGGCTAATCGATTGTTCAGGCGTCAAATATGCGGCGCGTTGTGTGGCTCCCGTGCTATCAGATCCCGACCGTCACCGGTTCGTCACAGCCACATGCTCACTCAGAGATACAAATGAGGTGAGTATACGGCCACCAGACACTCAGACCAGGTCCTGTCCTGTCGATGGGTGTCTGTCTGTCAGGTGCACGTGATAGAGTTTGTGGAGGACAACCCGAGCCGCGACATTGTGTGTGAGAAGATCCTGTCGCACCCAGAGGAGGTGTGGAGCATCATTGCACTGCCGGCATTCGACGGCGGCCAGGCAACATCAGCCACAGCCAATGGCACGGACAGCGGCCAGCTGCGACTCATCACGGGCAGCGGAACAGCCAATGCACCCGCAGGTGGTCCCTCTGTGTCCTCTCCTCTTTCTACATATTTGCACTCACTGTGTGTGTGTGGGCAGACCACAGATGTCGGTTATGGCGAGTGCAGCATGATGAGCTCAAGCTGGAGGAGACCATTGATCAAAACACACCATTCACGCCTGTCAGGAGGTAGGTGACTGGCATGGCGCATCTGGCTGTGCTGCAGCCATCTGGTCAGTCGTGCGTCGATGTGTTTGATCGATTCTGTTGACCGACCAGGTTTCTGCTGGACCCTCACAGCACCGAGGGCCCCTCACCCATGTGCCGTTTGGTGGTGCTGGAGAGCAGGGCCATCCGGGTGCTCGAGAGCGACGCACCAGCGGGTGGGTGTGTGAGCGGCTTCCGCAGTGCATCACGAGTCGACTTGGAGGGCCGGGTGTGCTATGGTGGCAGCATGGACCCACACCACCCGATGCAGCTGACGACTGTCGATGACGGCGGCATCCGGGGGTGGGATCTCCGCACCATCAAGACCACAGTCCAGAGAGCTGACACACACCCATACGGGTCGGTCGGGGAGCCCTTTCACGTCACATCACCTGGATGTCTTGTCGATCTCACCTCGCCGTGCCTCTCTCTCTCTCTCTTTCTCTCTCTCTCTCTCTCTGTATGTGTGTGTAGTGTGTTGGATGTGGACTACAACCCCAACCGTCCCTATTACATAGTGACGGCAGGCGAGGACGCCACACTGAGGTTCTGGGACCTCAGGAAACTCAACGCATGCTTCAAAGTGGGGGATGCTCTCTCTGATCCTGTGTTTGGGACACATAAATGGACTCGTTTGTGTGCTTGTGCTGTGGTGTGGTGTGGTGTGGTGTGCGTGTGTCAGCGCATCGGTACGGTGCACAGCCATTGGATATCCCGCGTGTGCTACAACGCCTACCATGACCAGCTCCTCATCACAGGAGGTACCAACACACCCTCATCCATCCTCCGCTGCACGATCTCGTTGGCCTGCATGCATGGACATGTGTCTGTGGTGGATGTACATAATGTGTATGTCATGTGTTGTGTTCAGGGACGGATTCGCTTGTGAATTTGTGGACTGTTGGTTCGGTGTCGTCTGCCCCGATGCGGTCCTCCTCGACGCTCTCAGCCACCACACCCGTGGCCAAAGACACGTACGTACGTAACGTACGCAGCCACTCAAGTCAAGTCACACACATCACATCAGATAGATGATCACCTCACCAAGAAATATATAGCCATCTGTCTATATCGCGTGTTGTGTCAATCAATCATCGTGCCCCGCCCCGCCCCGTGTATGTGTGTATGGATGTGGTAGTGGTGAGGAGGGCGGAGGCGAGCTGCCTGACGGCCTCATCCGCAGCTTCGAAGACCACGAAGTCAGGGACGGCACACACAGGACGGAGAGCAAAGCTGCTGAATGTTGCCAGCTGTGTGTGTGTGGGTGCGCGTGTTAGGATTCCATTTATGGCCTCTGTTGGAGTGCGTGTGATGCATGGGTCTTCGCATCGGTGGGCCAGCCACCAACAGAAGAAAACACTCACTTAGCCACTCAATCCCTGATGGATCATGTATGTATATGTGTCTTGCTGCAGGTGTCGTACGACGGCCGTCTGGCGATCCACCAGGTGCCGTCGGAGGACAAGTACAGAATACTCCTCGTCTGATCCATTCGTCACATCAATCAACGCGACACACAGACAGGCAGGCAGGCAGGCAGACAGACACACAGGCAGGCAGGCAGGCAGGCAGGCACGCAGACAGGCCGCCACGAGGCTCAGCTGAGCAAGCGAGTCCGACGGAAAGACGAGAGAGAGGGGTAGGGGTAGGGAGGGCGTTACTTGCATGTCATGTGTGTGAGTCGCTGTACAGAACATGACGTATGCATACAATACATACATGGGTGCCGCTGAATGAATGAATGAATCTGTCAGTCAGCTGTTGACTGAGAAAGGATGCAAAACTCCCAACAGGGGAGCAACAGCACACCTACGACCTACGGACGTTCGTATGGTGCACATCACATCACATCATATCACATCACATCACATCACATCACATGCCTTCCCTCCCTGGATTCGTGTGCACACGACAAGACGAGGACGCGCAGCCACACGGCAACAAAACCAGAAACAAGCACGAAAACCAGGGGGAAAACAAATTACTTGGGCCACTTGATCGGCACAATTCACTCGCCCGCTGTGACCACTCCACTTCCCTGCTGCAGTGCTACCCACCCCTGCCAACGTGTGCACTCGTCACCGACACATGCATCCATTCATTCATTCGTCAGCGGCCCCGTCGATGAGTGTGGTCAGCATTGCCATTGCGCGAGGCACATGACGGAAGTCGCTGGGTCTGATCTTGTAGCCTCCATTATTGATGGCCACTGCCCTGCCGCCTTTGTTGATCTTGACCTTGCTGGGCGGCACCTTCCTGCCGTCCCTCGACTCTATCCGGCCTGTGTTGGGGTCCATGCAAGCCGGGTGGGGGTCCATGGCCGCCTGCAGCGACAGGGCAAAGGCCGCCTGGACGGGGTGCTTGGCGAAGACGTCTCTCCATGCCGCAGCCACCGTCTTATTGGCCGGCGGGGGGCCCGTCATAACCGCCACAGTGCCGTTGTCGCATTGCTGCTCTGTGAGAGCGGCGGAGAATCCCTTCCGCTCCTTTTTGATCTGCAGCCACGTAAGATCGTAGCTGCACTCAGACAGAAACACGACACAGTCCGGCAAGAAAGGCAAGAGAGACACGTGTGTGTGTATGGATGGATGGATGTACTCGTTCATGTGTACTCCTCTTCCTCACTCGGGATTGATTGTGTCCCAGCACGCGCATTCCTCCGCTTTGAACCCTCCTTCAGGCTCAACCTGTGCCGGCGGCTTGAGGAACTGCACAGGGCTGTTGCCGGCCCCCTTTACCAAATCGGACAGCGCCGCATAGTTGGCTGTGTCTGCAGTGAACGGGGGCCATACGTTATCGGACTCCTCAGCGGGGCTGAAGGGAACCCCGTCTGGGCCGAAGAATTCCTGAATTATAGAGAACAAGCCCGCATTGAAGACGGGTGCTGGCGTCTCGCTTGGGTTGATCCGGCGGGTGAGCGCCACTTCCTCAGTGGCAAGCGGTGAATCAGAGAACAGGAAATCGTCAGTTGCGCCAGTCCTCTCTTTGGTGAAGATCCTCTGTCCATTGCCGAGGGCCCACATCTGCACACCGACAGACGGGCACTAACTAGTTCGGTGAGTGCGTGTAGGTGTCTGTTCCGTAGCACTCGCCTGTTCCTCAAGGTGGCAGGTGGTGCCGGGCAAGAAGCAGAAACTCCTGTAGATATCAAATTGTCCGCCCTTGGGTGCCACCGCATCCGTCATGACTGTGGGGGCGGAATAATCCCATCCCGCCTCGTAGAAACTGCCATAGCATGTGTGCCCGCTCGCAGCCAGTGCCTTGCAGAGGGCGCGGGCCGAGCACGAGTAGTAACTATCACCATACTGACACACACACCACCACCAACACGTCGGAATGAGTCAATAAGTGACTCGGTCACTCTCTCGCTGACCAGGCTAGACACACTGCTGATGAGATCGGGGCTGCTGCCAAGACCGTCACTCGGCTCACCATCATCCTTGCCGCTGTCAGACGGATGGCACACACACGATAGGTGCACATGTGTTTGTTGGATGGGTTCCCTATGTGCGTTTGTGGGTGCCTCACTCACCTTGAAGGGTACTGGTACATTAGGCACGAGGCGTCCCAGCCGAAGAGCGCTAACAGCGCGATCCTGAACACATACACCCACACACACCCACACACATACATACACAGACGACCGACCAGACAGACAGAGAGACAGAGAGACAGAGGGTGAGACAAGCCAGTACGTAATGGGCGGCCTACGTACGTGTATGTTAAGGGATTGAAGACGAGCTTGGAGATGATGGATGAACCTGGGAGGCCCGACAGCAAGCCCAAAAAGTGCCCACACCAGACGCACAAGTGGTGAGGTTGGAACACTCCTGAAGGATCCCCGGGAGCCGACTCAGTCGCCCACCGATCGGATGAAGAGGGTTCCTTCGTTCTTGCCTCCGGTGATGAGAAACCTCGGCCCTTTTGCCTCGTCTGATACTGCCCCGAACAGCTTCCCTTGCTGCGGAAAGAGGGAGCACAAATCTACATCTGGTTGGTGTGTTCGTGTGTGTTGCAGGGCAGGGCAGGGCAGGCGGCCCACTTTGAGGTCTTGGACGCAGTCGGTCCCCGGTATGAAGGGAGGCACGCCCACCGGGCCATAAGGGGTGGCTATATGGGAGAAGTCAGCCAGTACAACAGCCTGCATTGACGGACACACGCACCACTGTCCACACTCAGATAGACAAGCTGTATTGTGCTTGCTTACCGCCACGCCCGCAGCAGTAGCCAATCGTATCTTCTCCACGTCAGCGTTCTGTCATAGTGTGTGGGGCCGGGTACCATGGCAGCCACCCTCCGTAGTGCTAGTGTTCCTGCTGTGTGCCATTTATGCATACCTCGAGCCACGTGATCACACTATCTTGTACAATGAAGGCGCCGTTGTCTTCATCGACCTGCAGGTGCTCGAGCAAACCGATGCACCTGTCCCCACCGAGAGATAACGCACAGACAACGAACAGATCACGCTCAGTGTGTGACTTACTTGAGTGTTTTGAGAATGGTCTCCGTCTGAATTTTGAGGAGCTTGGAGTCGCGAAGTGGCAGGCCCCAGCTGCCACTTGACAGAATCACTCGGTCTATCTGCTCCAGCTGTAGCCCCGTAAATATCGGTGTCGCAGGGCTGGTCAACAGACACTGCAAACAGATACAGACACACAGACCGCGGCGCGCTCAATCAACCAATCAATCAATCAGGTAGGCAGGACTGGTTGGTTGCGCACCCACCGCTGCCAGCTTGGCTCCCGCACTGAAGCCCCAGATCTTTATGGTCAATTCGTCGAAGCGACACAGTCTCCTAACGCCCCCCGAACCTTCGCACACCTCACCCACAAAGTACTGCATTCAGGGGGTGCGCATCCATCCCACAAATAGATAGACAAACAGATAGACAAACAGACAGACAGACAGACAGACAGGTAGGTAGGTGGGTGGGTGGGTGGGTGGGTAGATGGGTAGCTGGATGAGTGATGACGTGTGGTTGAGAGGCGAGTGACACATATACATACTGTGGCGTATCTCTTGAGCCATCCCAAAGCCGCCCACACATCAGTGAGTCCGGCATTGCCGGGGATTGATTGTGAACGAAGACAGCCACCCGAGGATGCCCAGGCGGTAATTTATGGAAACCACCAAGCCACCTGAATGAATCAATCCACGACGAGTCAGCGCAGGTCCACCATTTATCATCACTGACCGACCGACCGACCGACCTGTTCGTCGTGCCAACTCCTCGACATACGAGAAATCGGCCATGCCGCTCCCGGCAAGGAAGCCGCCTCCGTGTAAGACGATCGTGATCTGTCTCCTGATCTCGGTCAGAACTGTGGGCCGCCAGATGGAAAGGAAGAGGCAATCCTCACTCTCCACGCCGTTGGGAGACTCGCAGATGGCGTCAGTGTTGACTGTCAAACCACACCCACTGATGCACGCGTTGCCTTTGTTTTCGGCGACATTGAATGACTCCGGCTGTTGATAGACTACCTGAAGCCACGCCATACACAGTCCCCCGTCTTCTCGGCTGCCCCCGTAATATGGTCCAGTCCGTACTGTACGTACCTCTTGGGCCGGCTTGAAGCGCTCGGCGGTGGCGTACCGGATGCCTGCAGACAGGCACGTCAGGACCGAAAGCATGCAGCCAGTGCGCGGCGTGGAGCTGCTTTCTGCGTCATCTGCTGACCAAGGAAAAGGTTGACAGGCTCAGCGGGGGTGTCGGGGTCAAAACTCGCGGTGCTCACGCCGGGGACGAACTTGGCGCAGGGCGCTGGGAATGTGGCAGGGTCAGTCGGCTCGCAGGGAATAGGATCATTAGGATCTGCCCCTCCATCCGTATCAACGAACACTTCGTCGACTGGCTGCGCAACGCACGAGGTCGCCAGTACGAAACCCACATCAGTTTAGCAGACCCAGAGAGGGGCGTTTATTTCGGTTTATTTCCACTTGCGAGCTGAGCTCGGCTCGTTAAACGCAACTACCAACCAACTGATGGTGGTTCAAGTGGCTGTAGCATGCTTGCTGGGCTTCCTCGAGGCAGCAGATGCATGGAACAGGCAGCACATGACATTCATAGCGCCATCGGGTAAGGAGCGCACGGCTGCCTTGCAGATCTCGCACAACACTCACTCTGAAGCCACCACATCACCGCGGCCTGCAGACGTCAGATGCACACAAGGCCTCGTCTCTTTTTGTCCGGTGTTGCGTGCAGGTGTGAGAGTCAGGGGAAGTGACAGGAGGCCTCATCGCCGGTTGTTGGCGCAGAGCCGTCCCGAGAGTCCATCTGTCAAGGACATCCTGTCGCCTCTGGAGGGGCCGCTGGTGGAGGTCGTCATGGGGGAGCGGAATGTGACAGATCTCTTCAGGGACGACAGGTCCCTCTGGGAGAAGACCCGGGGACAGACTGACAGGCCAGGGGCGGCCACCACATCCAAACTCAGGGGGCTCAGAGGACTAACGAGCGACGATATCAAGGTGCGTATCCAACATGGGACGGTGCGCAACGACCCATTCGGTCGGTGATCTTTCACTCGCTGCTTTGGTGGGCGGTGTGTTTGATTGCTTCAGGTTCAGCAGAACGAGGCGTTGGCGGGCTGGTTGTTTGCGAATGGAGTGTACTTGAGTGAGAAGTCGGAGTGGGGACTGGCACCACATGCATGCCTCCTCGCAACTGACGTCATGGACGAGAACGCCGGTAGAGAGCTGATACACACACACACACACACACTCACACAAAGAGGGAGGACCGTTTTGTGTGTGTGTGTGCGTGTGTGTGTGTGTGTGTGTGTGTCCTCAGGCGAGTCAGCCGGTAGGGGTCTGTTGGCCAAGAAACAGCTCGACGTGAATGAGGAGGTCCTGTCGGTGCCGCTGAGGCTTTGCTTCACCAAGGACGCTGCCAGGCGGGTCTTCGGACCAGACATCGTCGACGAGTAACACACACACGAGCAACCACCACGGCACGGCGAGATGATGTGATGCACTGTGCTCATTGGGACACTTGATGTGTGTATGTGTTTTGCAGTGGTATGTCTGAGCACATAGCGATAGCGTTGCTGCTGATCCACGAGCGGGCCAAGGGAGATGACTCGTTCTTTTTCCCTTACCTGGATGTGCTGCCCACCATAGAGGTGAGGGAGTAGGTCGATGGCTGCACAGCCCAGCCCAGTCCAGCCCGCCGACAGAGGCAGCATGCAGCAAGGGCGGGCGAGGTGTGCCATGTGCATGGAGCAAGTGTGATCGGTGTAATTATATGTTGCAGGAGGTAAACCCCACGTTTGTGTGGCCTGAGGAGGACGTGGAACTGCTGAGGGGCTCACAAGCATTCATCACAGCAACGTGCGTATTCACACACACACACGTCGCATCTTGTCTGTCTACGTACGACAGAGTTAGGCCCTTATCGCTTTCTGTCCTTTTGTGTTTGACGTAGGTCCCTCCGCGAGAAACTGCTCAACGAGTACGACCGCGTCAGGTCCCTCGTCCTGACCAAGAAACCTGAAATGTTCCCTGAGGTAGGTGAGACTACACTGCCTAGCCTAGCCCCCACACAGTGACTGATTGCTCTTGCGCTGCCTGCCCTGCAATGCATGATCAACTAATCACACACTCCCTCCCTCCCTCCCTCCCTCCCGGTCCATGTCCATGCCATGCCATGCATGCAGGACGTCTTCACGTTTGAGGCGTGGCTGTGGGCCTTCATTCAAATCTTCAGCCGGTCCATCAGGCTGCAGCTCGGCAAATCGACGTCTAAGGAGGTCAGTCAGCGAGCTCACACCATGCCATGCCCTCACTCGTACACACTACACCGATCGTGTTACTTACTGTTTTGGGTGTCTGTCTGATACCAGAGGGAGGAGATAGCGATGGTGCCGTATGCCGATCTGATCAACCACAGCCCCTTCTCTTCGTCATTCATCACCGCCGAGTCACCCAGTGCTTTCCTCAAGGTACCTACCTAGCTAATTAAACAAACGGGCGGCCGGCCGACCCTTCACTGCAGTCACCGACGGACATTCACCTACGGGCAATTTTTCCTCCCGTCCGTCTGTCTGTCTGTCTGTCTGTTTCTCTCCCTGTTTGTTTAGCGTTGGCGTGGTGACCCGATAACGGAACAGGTGCGTGTGGTGGATGATGACGTCAAGGTCTACACCGACAGGGCCTACAAGAGGATGGAACAGGTCAGCCAGTTAGCCAGGCGCTCTATATGCATCCGTTGTCCTATCTATGCCTTCCTTGTCAACTCA